GGGAATCCATCTTGCAGCGCTTTTGTTTTCTGCTGGCAGGGAACCTTCCCCACTGGCAGAACACTGATCACTGCTGGCAGCTAAAGCCTCTGGAAGTGATCGAATGAGATAAATCCGACAGGCTGGTTGTACTGAAGACAATCAATGGATCGACTTCAATACAACCAGCCTGCCCATAGATGGATCAAATCTCAGCCGATCCCTGCTGAACCAGCCGAGATTCGATCCATCTATATTCGACTTAAGGGCTGGTTCACACTGAAAATAACACAGGAAATCGATGTGCGTTCCTGTGCGATTCACATGCAGTTCTGTGTGGTGCGAATGTAGCCCATTAATTTTGATCCTGATGCATGCATGCACTACTTTTGGAAATGCACTGCAACTGGATCGCATCATTCTTTTGTACTATGCAATTACGCACCACGTTTGCAATTAACTTATTACTCACACCCACTACAGATTGCACCTGCAGATTGTTTTGAACGCAGTGCGTGCAATGCACAAAGAGCGTAGGTTTCCCGAACCTCGTTCTGGCATGAATGGGCCCTAAAGGAGATTGTAGAATAAGACTGTAACATGTGCGGTGAGACTGCAGCAACTGAGCGATAAAAACCCCCCCCCCAAAAAACACAGAAGCCATTGTAGAAGCATCCAGTGCTGGAACAGTATAATAAGGCTGATTCTTGTGCGATTCACATGCAGTTCTGTGTGGTGCTAACGTAGCCCATTCATTTTGAATGGACTGAATTCACACCACACCGCACCATAAGTAGTGCATACACTACATCTGGAAACACACTGCAACTGGATCGCATCATTCGTTTGTGCCATGCAATTGCGCACTGCGTTTGCAACCTGTGTTTGGGGTGTCATTAACTTGTTACTGACACCCACTACAGATTGCACCTGCAGAATGCGCAAAGAACGCAGGTTTCCCAAACCTCATTCTGGTGTGAATGGGCCCTAAAGGAGATTGTACAAGATTGTACAAACTGTAACGTGTGGTGAGATTGCTGCAACTGATGAGCAATAAAAAAAAGAAACAGCAGCCACTGCAGAAGCATCCATTGCCTAGAACAGTAAAATAAGGCTGATTCCTGTGCGATTCACATGCAGTTCTGTGTGGTGCAAACGTATCCCATTCATTTTGAATGGGCTGAATTCACACCACACTACAGCGCACCATAAATAGTGCATGCACTACGTCTGGAAACGCACTGCAACCGGATTGCATCATTCTTTTGTACCATGCGACTGCGCACTGCTTTTGCAACCTGTGTTTGAGGTGTCATTAACTTATTACTGACACCCACTACAGATTGCACCTACATAGTGTTTTGATCGTGCAAAGAATGCAGGTTTCCCAAACCTCGTTCTGGCATGAATGGGCCCTAAAGAAGATTGTGCAATCAGACTGTAACATGTGTGGTGAGACTGCAGCAACTGATGATCGATTAAAAAAAAACAAAAAAAAACAAAAACAGAAGCCATTGTAGAAGCATCCACTGCTGGAACAGTAAAATAATGCTGATTCTTGTGCGATTCACGTGCAGTTCTGTGTGGTGCGAACGTAACCCATTCATTCTTAATAGGCTGAATTCACACCACACCCCAACATAAGTAATGCATGCACTACATTTGGAAACGCACTACAACCCGATCGCATCATACTTTTGTACCATGTGATCGCGCACTGCTTTTGCAACCTGTGAATGGGGTGTCATTTACTTATTACTGACACTCACTACAGATTGCACCTGCAGAGCGCTTTGAACGCGCAAAGAACGCAGGTTTCCCGAACCTTGTTCTGGTGTGAATGAGCCCTAAAGGAAATTGTACAATCAGACTGTAATGTGTGTGGTGAGACTGCAGCAAACGATGAGCAATAAAACCCTCAGCAGCCACTGTAGAAGCATCCACTGCTGGAACAGTACAATAAGGCTGATTCTTCACATGTTTCTGACATGTAACTAAAACATGAAGGTGAAATAGTCACATGGTCCTTCCCATGAGCTTCCTACAATGAGGAGCGGATGGGGTGTCGTCTCTGGTGCTCGGAGGGCTCACACAGAATAAAGAACACAGACATGCCATTATCTTCAATGCCACTTACACAGCTCAGGGCGCCGTCTGGAGAGGACCACAAAATCCTGAGATTTCTGCTTCAGCACAAGCAAATCCTGTCGCCTCACTGCTGATCCATGACAGATCTGCGGCTCGTCAGACACATCAACATGCCGCAGCTGCCTGTCCTTGTCTGCTAAGCTGGAGAAGATCCGGAGGAAAAACGGCCGCTGTTTCCTGTAGGCGCCTCCCTTCTATGTGCCGAGCCTCAGACACAGCAGTAGCATCACTCCACCTGTGACAGTCCCTTTCCAGCCACCTCCCAAGATGACTTCCAGATGCCTCCTGCTGCTGCAATCAAGATGTTGTTCCTGTGTCTAGCAGAAAGGAAGGCTGAAAAAGCTCCTTGTCAGCACTTTATTAGACGTGACAAGAAACCTAAACAGGGAGAGCTCTTGGAGGGGAAGGATGAGTTTTGCTGGAGTGTCAGCGTTTTGAGGGAGATGCTGATGATGGATTGGCAGGCTGAGGGGGATCTAGTCACATCAGATGTGGTGGGACTGCGTTGGAAGCTTATGCCAGTGTAGTCGGACTCCCACCGCATGACCAGACAAAATGCATCGTCTCTTGTGTGCCCGATTCACACCACTTCATTGCAGTGGTGTGCAGGCAGTGTGCACTGAAAACTACTGCGGGTAGTCATTTTTTCTAGCAAAGTGCGAGGCAATCCAGCACCTCTTTTGGTTGAACTTAATGCGGAGGTCCACCTAAAAAAAAATAAATAAAAATCAACAGCTACAAAAACTGTAGCTGCTGACTTTTAAAATACAGCCACTTACCTGTCCCTCGGTCCAGCGGTGCTTTCAGCACCACTGGTTGCACTGGTCGTCTTCTCTCCCTGGCACCGACATCTTCAGTGTGGGCACCCGGCTGTGACAGCTTGAGGCTTCACAGCCGGGTGCTCACTGCGGATGCGCAAGTAGCACTGCGATTTGTGAATGGCCCAGTAGTTTTCTGGGACCTGTCACGTGTCCCAGAAGACTACAGGGAAGGAGGGGGGGAGGACAACTTCTGCTTCCGATCGCCTAGGTGATCGCAGCAGAAGTGGGAGCTGGTAACTGTCAAATTTGGGTACCTGCTCCCCCCCCTCCACAAAGCTGCCAATCCTTAATGGGGAGCGGGGGACAAAGCCTTAAAGTGGAACTTCCCCTTTTGGGTGGAGCTCTGCTTTCAAGGTCCTTTCACATGGAGCAGAAACGTTTAACGGATCTGCTTGCGCAGCGGGGGATCTCTCCGTTCATCCACGCTGAGCAAGCGGATGACAGCTCTATATCGACTCCGCTGCTGCAGAGCAGACACAGCTGCTCGCTGTCCTCAATGGGCAGTCAGATGAAAACGGACCACCTGTCCAATCCAATGGACAGAAGGGAAATTGGATCCACATCCGCCCTTTTTTGGTGGATCGGATGTTGGCGGGTGTTAATGGACACATGTCTGTTTATGCCCCCCGCTCCATAGAGGAGAATGGAGGTTCCAATCAGGTCCGCCTGAAAAACGGGCAGGCAGACCCGATCAGAAGGTCTTTGTGAAAGAGCCCTAAAGTTCCAGTGAAAATAAAACAAAAATAAAAGCAGCTACAAACACTGTAGCTGCTGACTTAAATAATGGACACTTACCTGTTCCTTGATCCTGTGGTGTCCCCCTCACAGCCTGTTTCACCGGCTGCCCTGTGTTCCCGGCACTGACATCTTCAGTGTGGGCACCCTGCTGTAACAGATTGCGGCTTCATGCGCAAGTAGTTCTGCGCTTTGTGAATGGACCCATAGTCTTTGAATAGGAAGGGGGGGGGGGGGGGGGGCAGGAGTGCCAGCGAGGGACCCGAGAAGAAGAGGATCGGGGCTACTCTGTGCAAAACCAATACACAGAGTAAGTATGACATGCTTGTTATTTAACCAGTTGAAGTCCACCCTATAGCAGTTTTACTGCTATGGGGCTGACTCCCTGCTTAACATCATGTGTATATATATGTGATCCGTGTCTCTGCCATGTCCCCGAGCAGTGGGCGTGAGCGCGTGCTCCAGCCCGACAGTGTTGTGATTTGGTACAGCACCAGTCACTCACGAGATCCAGGCCAATGATGTACCGAATCAGAGCTCAGCCTGTGCCTGTGTTTACAGAAAACAGGCACAGGAAATGATGCAATCTTCTTTCTGGAGCACATTCCTTTTTTTTATTTAAATATTTATTGGTTTTCCAGATTAACAAGTTATGAAAATATATCCTTTATAAAAGCATAATCACAATATCAAAAACTTTAATCTTTTCATTTTTTCTTCCCCTCCCAGACCCTCCCATCCTACCTGTTCACCACCCTTCTCCCCCTCACCCCTCCAACCCCCCCCCCCCCCCACCCCGCGACTCTGCAATTTCCTATTCCTTTCTAGGGATCGCAATCTCGACGAAGGAAGGAGAAATTAAAAGCCTTATTGTTCTATATTAATCCCCCATCAACACCAAATTTAACTTTGACTTTTTAAATTAATCCCATTTGTTCCATTTTATATGGTGACTCTCCATCTTATCTTCATTCATATGGTAAAGTTCCTCCAATCTACATATTTGATCTACCCTGTCAGCCCAATCTTTTATTTTCGGCACCTCCTGTCTCCTCCAAAACTTGGGTATCAATCCCTTTGCTGCGTTCAAATAATACAATAAACCAGATTTTTTATATTTTTTGATTGAAAGCTTGTGTAAGGGACCGTCTGGCGGTACCTCTAGCACTCCACTGGTCAGGTTTCCCCAGAGCGCGGAGTCTAACTCCCAGAGCACTTGTTCACCAGGGCCCCTGATGGTGGGGATGGACTTGGAGCACACCGAGACCAGGGTGCAACTACTGGGTACACCCACCGTGGTAGAGGTGTCCGCCAGAGGCTCCCGCAGGGTAAGAGTCTGATATGAGGAGGTCGGGCGATCCCGACAGGATGGATAGATGAGCAAATGCAGGGTCAAACAAGCCGAGTCGGGAGCCATGGGGTCGGTGCGGTACAAAGCAGCTGGCAGAGAATAGTCGGGTCACACGCCAGGTCAGCAACAGTAGATCAGATCCAACAGGGGGCATCCAGGAGAGAGGTCAGGCAAGCCAAGGGTCAGAGCAGGAGAGTACAGCACAGTCAGGGACAATCTGGGTCAGCAACAATCAGAATTCAGGTATACACAGGATCAGGAACATAAAAAGACCAAACGGCAACATGTGACAGCTCAGGGGGGTTTAAATACCGCGCCCTGTGCTGTCATTGGTGCCAAGTTCCGTTGCCGGGCTCGGCCTGGACCTAGCGCCCGCATCCCTGTGCAAGGCGGCGCACTGTGCCTGCCCGGGACCAGCGCCGCGGCGATCCCTGACATTGCCCCCCCCTACGGGCAACCTCCGGATGCCCACCCGATCTCTCCACCGTGGGTGGTCACGAAAAAACTCCTGGTAAAGTCTAGGGGCATGAACGTTTTGGGCCGGTTCCCAGTAATTTTCCTCCGGACCATAGTCCTTCCATTTAATCAAGAACTGGATCTGGCCCCCCCCTCCTTCGGCAATTTAGGATCGCTTCTACCTCAAATTCCTCCTGCTCTTCGATAGTTATGGCTTCCAGGAGTCTGGACTCCCGATCCGGGAATGGATTCCAGCATAACTGGTTTCAGCAGGGATACATGGAATACCGGGTGAATCTTGAAGGTTTCTGGAAGGATGAGCTTATGCGCCACTTTGTTGATCATTCGCTTCACACGGAAAGGACCCACAAAATTCGGTCCCAATTTATTCGAAGGACACAACATTTTTAGGTTTGTTGTTGCCAACCAGACCTTGTCCATGGGTTGCAACACCAGCTCCCCCCTTCGCTTCTTATCAAAGGCCCTCTTGTTATCTTCCTGGGCTCTAGAGATAGCTTCCTGAAGTAGCTTATTATTGGTAGAGAAGAAGGTGAGCGTGCTTTGCGTAGCTGGAACTGAACTCTCGGTGACCAGATCGGGAAGAAAAATGGGGTGAAACCCGTAATTTTCAAAAAACGGAGATTGCCCCGTGGCTGAATGATTTGCATTAGTGTAAGCGAATTCTGCCAAGGGCAAGAGCGTCAGCCAATTATCCTGCAGGAAGGACGTGTAGCATCTCAGATACTGCTCCAGTGTCTGGTTAGTCCTTTCCGTCTGCCCATTGGTCTGTGGGTGAAAAGCGGAGGAGAGGGACAATTTGATACCCAACGCCTTGCATAAAGCTTTCCAAAATTTGGAGGTGAACTGAACTTCTCGGTCCGAGACGATGTCTTCCGGAACTCCGTGTGACCTTACCACTTCCCGTATGAAGATTTGAGCGGTCTCAAACGCCGACGGTGTACTCTTCAGGGGTAGAAAGTGGGCCATTTTTGACAGACGGTCAATGACTACGAGAATCGCGGTGTGGCCCTGGGACGGAGGAAGTTCAACTATGAAATCCATTGCGATCATTTGCCATGGCCGATCGGGTATAGGTAGTGGGCGTAGCAGCCCCCAGGCCTTGCTTCTAGGAGGTTTGTTTCTTTGACATATGGCACAAGATTTGACATAACGTTCGCAGTCCTTGGTCATGCTTGGCCACCAAAATGAGCATTTGAGAAGATCCAGAGTCTTTGCCAGCCCGAAGTGCCCCGCCATCGGATGATCATGGCAATGTCCCAAAACCAGTATTCGGACTTCTCCAGGCACCACGATTAACCCCTCTTTCCATAAGAGTCCTCCTTTGTTCTGGAGGGACACCCCAGGTGGGGCTGACATCGCCATGGATGCGTTCTGTAATTTAGAACGGAGCTCTGTTTGGAGGGTCAGAAAGTTCCCTGAAGACAAGATGGTATCAGGCCTAGGCTCTTCCTTGGGATCCTCAAACATGCGTGAGAGCGCGTCGGGCTTCATGTTCTAGGAACCAGGTCTGTACGTTATGTGAAAAGAAAATCGAGAGAAAAAGAGTGCCCATCTCGCCTGGCGTAGTCGTAAGCGCTTTGCCGTCCTCAGATACTCTAAGTTCTTATGGTCGGTGAAGATCAAAATCAGATGCGTGGCTCCTTCCAATAGATATCTCCATTCCTCCAGTGCCGTTTTAATGGCTAACAATTCTCGGTCGCCAATGTCATAGTTCCTCTCGGCCGGAGTAAGCTTCCTTGAAAAGAATGCCACAGGGTGCAGAAGTTCCTTGGTGCCTTTCCTCTGGGACAGGATGGACCCTACTGCATTCTCAGATGCGTCCACTTCCAGAACATAAGGCAGAGAAGCATCCAGATGGCCGAGAATGGGTGCCGTGGTGAAAGTTTTCAGAGACTCAGAGGCTTCCTGGGCCTCAGGTGTCCATCTAAAACGGGTTCCTTGTTTGGTCAACTGCGTTATGGGGAGACCAGACCCGAGAAGTTCCTAATAAACTTTCTGTAAAAATTAGCGAATCCAACAAAGCGTTGGACACCCTTCTTATCTGTGGGAATTGGCCAATCCAGAATTGCCAAGACTTTCTGCGGGTCCATCGCGACCCCCGTGGTGGAGATGATCAGTCCCAAAAAAACAATACTGCGCTGTTCAAAACTGCACTTGTCAGCCTTGGCATATAGCCCGTGTAGGCGCAACCGCTCTAATACCTTTTCCACGTGATCTCTATGAGTCTCAAGTGAGTGTGAAAATATCAATATGTCATCTAGATAGACGACTACAAAAATATCAAGGTAGTCCCTGAATATATTGTTCACAAAATGCTGGAACGTGGCCGGGGCATTGCAGAGTCCAAATGGCATGACCAGGTACTCAAAATGACCGAAACGAGTGCAAAAAGCTGTTTTCGACTCGTCCCCCTCCCTTATGCGAACCAGGTTGTAAGCACCCCTTAAATCTAACTTCGTAAATATAGCTGCGGATTTCAGGCTCTGGAAGAGTTCCGGGACCAGGGGCAAAGGATAGCGATTCTTAATCGTGACCTTATTTAACTAGCGGTAGTCAATGCAGAGTCTCAGGGATTTATCTTTCTTTTCTACGAAGAAAATCCCAGCCCCTGCTGGTGAGGTGGAGGGGCGGATGAACCCTTTTTGGAGGCTCTTGTCAATGTAGTCCTTGAAAACCCCCAATTCTAATTCGGATAATGGAAAAATTTGGCAGAATGGAATTTTGGAACCGGGTAATAAGTCAATGGGACAGTCATACGGGCGGTGAGGAGGCAGGGAATCTGCCCCTCTTTTGCTTTAAACGTCCAGATAGCCATGATAGGCCACTGGAATGACCTGTTTTAAGTTTGGGTCCCCTTCAGAGCACAGGAGGACTTGGGGAGTCGCGGGGCCTGAAGCGCGACAGTGTTCCTGACAGTATGATGAGCGGAACAGAACAGACCCGGTCTCCCAGTCAATTTGGGGATTGTGAGCCCGCAACCAAGGGAGCCCCAAAATGACTGGGAAAAGGGGTGACGCAATGGCGTCTAAACGAAGGAGTTCCCGATGTTGGCCAGCTATTGTAGTGGGAATAAGGGAGGTCTCCTGATCAACCAATCCTGACTTAATCTGGGAACCATCAGCCAGAAATATATTAAGGCCCCTTTTTCTGGGCTGTAGGGGAATCTCCTGCTGGCGAGCAAAGTCTAGATCCAAAAAGCAACTGCATACCCCCAAGTCAATTATGGCTGTCACCTCCACGATTTTTCCTGGAAGCTGGAAGGAGAGGGGTACAGCTAAGTAACTGGACTGTCTAACATCCCCAACAGATAAGGAAGAAAAGGAAGAAGTAGACTTACTCGCTTTCAGAGGACAGGACCGTACCATGTGACTGGCTTCACCACAGTAGAGGCAGAGGTTCTTGGAACGTCTCCGCTGGCGTTCCTCGGGGGATAGCGTAGGCCGAGCCAGACCCAGCTGCATGGGTTCCGGGGTGTACACAGGGGCTGGAGTCCGGTTATCCATTACTGTAGATTGGCCTGCACCCTGGACCGGAGCCCATGTACTTCCATGACCCTGGCTGGACCTCTCGAACCTGCGCTCCCGTAATCTACGGTCAATTTGGATTGCTAGGGCGATAAGATCTTCCAGGGACTCAGGCAGGCCCACTCGGGTCAGCTCATCCTTGAGAGCTTCAGAGAGCCCAATGCGGAATTGGTGGCATAGGGCGGCATCGTTCCACCATGTGTCTCCCATCCATCTCCTAAACTCAGAAGCATATTCTTCCGCCGCCCGGCGGCCCTGTCTAAGGGAGTATAGCGCCGATTCGGCAGAAGCTGCCCGCTGCGGATCGTCGTAGAAAATGGCCATAGCCTCAAAGAAATCTTTTACCGTCTCAAAGTGTGGGTCAAGGTTCTCCATTAAATGATGGGCCCAGTCCTGGGGTTCCTCCTGGAGTAACGAAATTATGAACCCCACCTTAACCGACTCTGTCGTGAATGTGCGTGGTTGTAAATTAAAAATAGGAGGCAGGAGTTCTGCAAGGCTCTGAAACGTGTACGGTCTCTGCGGAAGCGTTTCGGCAGGGGTACATGGAGTTCAGCCATAGGTGGTGCTGCAGAAGCCCCCGTGGCTGGCCCAGGAGCTTCCCCAGCAGAAACTGGGGCCTGTAAAGTAGTGTCAGATACCGTTAAGGTCTGGCAACGATTTTCCAGATGTGTATACTTGTCTTGTAGGGCCAAAACGGCCTGAGTCAGGGCCGCCAAGTGCCGGCATATGTCTTCCAGCGGGGAGGACCCTCCTCCAGGCTCAGTCATAGCCGTTTGGTACTGTAAGGGACCGTCTGGCGGTACCTCTAGTACTCCACTGGTCAGGTTTCCCCAGAGCGCGGAGTCTAAGTCCCGGAGCACTTGTTCACCAGGGCCCCTGATGGTGGGGATGGACTTGGAGCGCACCGAGACCAGGTCGCGACTACTGGGTACACCCACCAGTGGTAGAGGCGTCCGCCAGAGGCTCCCGCAGGGTAAAAGCCTGATATGAGGAGGTCGGGCGATCCCAACAGGATGGATGGATGAGCAAATGCAGGGTCAAACAAGCCGTGTCGGGAGCCGTGGGGTCGGTGCGGTACAAAGCAGCGGGCAGAGAATAGTCGGGTCACATGCCAGGTCAGCAACAGTAGATCAGATCCAACGGGGCATC